CCAGACTTCCCTGCACCTGTTATCCGCTGTCTGGGTTCTCTTGTGACCTTAGGAGGTGAGTGGGAATAGAAGGGTGCCAGATGACTGGGACAAGGGTCCTGTCTGCTAGCTGTGTGACCTTGGGACCGTCTCTCCCCTCTACAACTCATTTTCCAATATCTAAAGTAGGGCTTATGAGACTACCTGCCTCCCTGTGAGGCCTCAGATGAGGTTGTATGTGTGGAAGGACCTCATAAGCCCTAAAGGCCATGTAGACACCAGGTGTCTACACTGGCATGGGAGCCAGAGGCTGACTTAATATTGGGGGCGAGAGGTGCTGTGGTAATCATCACACTAAATCTCCACACCTTCTCTGGTATTGACCTTTCCCAGATAACGCAAAGGCCCAAGAAGGTGGTTCTGAATCTCGCTCACAGTAAGCGGGAGTGACTGGGTTCAAATCCAAATCCAGTTCCCTCTGGATCAGTTCTTCTTATTGTCAAGTGGCCTCAGAAGCACCAACAGGTATGTTTGCTCGGCCAGAAATGGGCAGATCTGAGAGACCAACTGTCCCTGTTTACCCAGGACTTCCCTGGTTTTAGCACTGAAGGCTGCATTTTAAAAAAAAAATCAGACCCTTCATACTATGTGAAAACTAGGCCTGCCTCGCCTTTGAGAGGTGTCGGCTCGCAGCTGCTCTCCTTAACCTCCCAGCCTGCCTGTCTTTGGCTTTAAAGCTGCGTAAAGAATTTTACACTTTGACCAAATTATTACTTGACCTTTAGATTAAGGAGGGAAGAACAGAGGCTGCTGAATGATGTCCTTTTCCTTGGCTTCTGTATTTCATTTGCTTGGATCACCAGAGCAGGCTCTCCCAAACAGGCTGGGCCAGAGCTGGTCAGCCCTGGGGGTAGTGGAATGAAGAGTTGCTCTGAAAAGGATCTGGGGCTGTAGACCACCCCATCAGCTCTCAGTGCATTTATCCTGTAGCTGGTTGTCTGTGGGGAAGCTTCCACTCCTTCCCTGGGAGAGGGCATATCAGTAAGAAGATACTGAACTGGTCCCTCTTGAAGGCCTGCTGTTGGAGGCGGCCCCTGCCATCACTCGGTTGCTGTTGAACCAGAGTTTGATTTGTGCTCAGGAGTCAGAGCTTGTAGCTGGGCTCCTGCAGGAACCTCATGAAAGATGCATTTCACCAGGCAGTTCCAGGGGAGAGGCTGGCTTAAATTACAGCTCTACAAATCCAAATATTGGCATATCTGCAAATCCAAATGTGGGGATTTTTTTTTTTTAAATCAAAATTCTAAGAATCTTATTCTGCACTTCTTGTGCAAGAAGGGCACAATGAGCAATTCACCAGGCTGAGAATAATGACAGAGCTTCAGCAGAGCAAAACCAACCTCCTTTTCTTTCCTTGGGCGTTCTTCATGCTTCCAGGAAAAGAGCTTCCCCCTGGGAGAGGAAGACAGTGTTTGTTTGGCATGACTTTCTGCAGGACAGGCCAGCAAACCACCAGCCTGGCATTTGGGAATTGGGCTCAACAAATCTGGTGGGCCATTTCTTGTTGGCTTTCCCCAAACACCAAGGGATCTCCATGGATCACTCACCCTGCTGTGCTACCTGTTCATAACGCAGCAGCCCCAGGGATCCTGTGAGACTGTGAGTCAAGCCAGGTCATGCCTCTGCTCTAAACCCTCCATTGGCTCATCATCTCCCATGGTGACCAAGTCCCCACAATAGCTCCCACAATACTCTCTGGCCTTCTCCCCTCTTCCCTGACACCCTTTCACTTACACCTCTAGAAATACTGGCCCTTTGCTCTTTCTCTTCCATGGCAGACATGTTTTTATCTTAGCACTTACTGTTGCTTCTGCACAGAACACTTTTTCCCTAGAGATCTTTATTTATTTATTTATTTTAAAATTTTGCTAGAACACTTTTTCCCTAGAGATATTTATTTATTTATTTATTTTAAAATTTTGCCTTAGGATACAGGTGCTTGCCAGAAAGAGACAGAAAAAGGAAAAGTGAAAAATAATCCCCCAGGGGGAATGGCCATGTCACAGTCCTTTCTCCTCCACTCTCCTTTCAGTGTTTTGGGGATGCACACACACACACACACCCAGCATGATTTTTAGGCTGTCAGGACTGGGATTCAAACTGTGGTCAGCCATGTGGGAGTCCAACACCTTAATCACCACACCACCTGCTGGCCCCTCCCCCAAATATCCTTTAAGTCTTCAGTCAGATATTAGCTTCTTGGTGAGCCTTCCCTGACAATCCTATTTAAACTCCTGAATATCCTCCCCTGCAAACTCCTGATCCTCTTTTTTGCTCTGGTACTTTAACTTACTCTTACTTCTCACCTTTTGGTATCCTGTATAATATAGCAATTTGCTCTTTTTGATCATCTCTCCCCATTAGACTAACTTCCCTAGGAAGCCAGGGATCCTCATTTTGTTCACTGAGGAGTTGCCAGCTCCGAGAGCGGTGCTTGACACACACTAGACCCAGTAAACTACAGATAAGTGAATAAATGAAGATATATTTTATGCGTCATCTCTGTTCATCTCACAACAATATTAACAGGGTAGGAGCATTCTCAATTCACAGATGAGAAAATTCAAAAATTTGCTAAAGTTTGTAATATGCCAGACACTAAGTTTCAGAGAGGTTAAACTATTGGGCCCAGATTCCTTGATGAACAGTTAGGTTCACCAGCAAATTACAGCTCTGTGCTGTCCATCAGGGTAGCCATTCACCACATATGGCTATTGAGCATCTGAAATATAACTAGTTTTGGGGCTGGCAGGTGGCATGATGGTTAAGGGCACTAGACTCCCACATGGCCGACTGCAGTTCAAGTCCCGGACCTAGTAGCTTGCTTTCTCATTCCCCCTGCCCCAGCTCTCACTCTCTTCCACTCTGGTCAAATTGAAATGAATGAATAAATAACTAAAGTTTTAAAAGAATATTTGAAAAAAGAAATGTGGGGGGCTGGCAGATGTCATGGTGGTTGAAGGTACTGGATTCCCACATGGCTGAGTTCGAGTCCCAGACCTGATAGTTTGCTTTCTCACTTTCTCTCTCTCTCTCTCACTCTGTCCCTCTCTAACCAAGTTGAAAATAAATAAATAAAGTTAAATAAAATAATCTTAAAAAAAAAAAACATTGAGTTTATCCATTTCAATGTTCTGTCCTCTGCAAGTAAGTCTTTCCTACTAATTTAATGTTAAAATTCCATTCCTAGCCCAACTGTAGCAGTACATGGTAGTCAGTGCTGCTTGGCAGGATGCACATGGGAGACCTGGGCTTGATTCCTTGCTCTTTCTTAAAGCCAGTCACGTGGCAAACCTTCAGTCCTAGCTGCCCAAGAAGTTAAGGCAGGAGGATCATGAGCTCATGGCCAGTGTGGGTAAGACAGCAAGACCTTCTATAAAACACACACACACACACACACACACACACACACACACTATCCTTTCCCTTCTGAAACAGTGGAAACATGGCATGGTTACTTGTTCAAAGTTATGATTTCTGACTTACTTAATTTGATGTACATTTCTGTGTAGTATAGTATGGTTTTTAAGCATGCATATGGTGTTCAGTAATCAAATCAAGGATATACACATATTCATATCCTTCATAATTGAAATGTGACTAGTCTGAGCTGAAATGTGTCATAAATGCAAAATGTTCACTGATTTTCAAGACTTATGACGAAAGAGTTAATTAACTTACTTTTTTTTCAATATTGACTACATGTCAAACTGACAATATTTTGGATTTCTTGGGGTAAATGAAATATATAATAAAATTAACGACACTTGTTTCTTTTTACTTTTTTAAAATGTGGCTGCTATAAAAATTTAAATTACATATGTGGTCTGCATTTTGAACCTGCATTATACTTCAATTAGACAGTCCTCTCCTAGCTATTTTCATTCTATATTGCATCTCGTTCTTCAAGTGCATTACCTCTTGGACTCTTGAGTCTAAGAGTGCAGTGACCTTGTCTTTCCTGTAAGAATAAGAGCAAAAATATGCAGGATGCATCAACAAATCTCAAAAATATTAACATACCTGTCTTAGTCACTTCAGGACACTCTAACAAAGTACAGTAGACTGAGTGGTTTATACACAGAAGAAATTTATGGGAACCAGCAGTTAGCGTAATGGCTATGTCGCTGGACTCCCACGTAGTCGACCGCGGTTCGCATCCCGGACCCAGTGGCTTAAAACTCACGCCGGGCATGTGTGCGTGTGTGCCCAAGATCCCAAGAGGAGAACGGAGGAGAAGGGATTGTGGCGTGACCATCCCCCTTGGGGGGTGATTTCTCGCTTTCTGCCTCTATGTCTCTCTCTGTCTGGCGACCGCACAAAAGAAGTAGCGAAAGCGAAAACCTCTCCAAAAATAAAAAAAAAAAAAGAAATTTATTGCTCACAGTTCTGGAGACTGGAAGTCCAAGATCAGGGTGGCAGCAAGGTCACATTCTGGTGATGCCTTCTTCTGATTGTATCTCCACAAGGCAGAAAGCAGGCTAGCGAGTGCTCTGGGGTCTTTTCTAAGGACACTGACCCCCATTCATGAGGACTCCACACTCACAAGCTAATTACCTGTCAAAGACTTCACCTCTTAATATCTTTAACAGGATTTCAACAGGAAATTTGGGGAGACACAAACATTCAGCCCATAATACTACCTAAAGAACAATGTCTCTCTAAAGGACAGTCAATCTCAAGGAGAAAAAAGGTCTAAAAGCAGCCTCAGCTTCTAAAGTATGTCTTCAGCCCCTTCTAAAGAAAGCAAGCAGCCCTGTCAACAAACTCGAGAGTTGGCTCTGTAAAGAAGGAAGCCCCAGTACGTTAATGTTCAGTGAAGCTGAACGGAACCAGGACACCCACCAATAACATTATTGAGCATGCTCCAGTCCCTGCCAACTGAACAACCTTCTGAGGGGCATTTGGCTGCCTGAATGGACATGCTTTCAGAGGATACACATTGATTTGGTAATTACAGTTCTTTTTTGTCAATCAGTGAGCTAGCGGTCTGGTTTTGTTTATCTGATTTTGTGGGCTAGGTTAATGTGAGCCTTCGCTTTCAGTGGGTCAACAGAGCTAGGTTTCTGAGCCTGTGAGTCTGTGATGGTCTGGGTAGTAATTTGTTCCTCCAAAGGTTCATGTTTTGGAATTTCATCTTAGTGGGTAGTGATTGGATGCTTCCAATAGTTCAAGTGTCAGGATTTGATAGTATTATCAAAGTGTTAGCTGAAAACTTAATCCTTTCATGGTGTCCCAGGGTGGGACCTTTGGATGTGATAAAGTCACTAGGGCTGGTCTTCCCTGGGTAGGAGTTGAACTCTGGTGTGCAAATAAGGAGAGGAAGTGAAGCAGGCTCAGGCTGTGCACATGTGGCCATAGACCAGAACACGAAGAAACTTATGGACGGCCACTCTGTCCACAATCCTGCCCTCCATCACGTGGTAGCCTCACCAGAAGTTGGTTCCAGGGGCCAACTCCCAGACTCCAAAGCTATGAGCTGAAGAAACCTCTATTTCTCTGTAAATCACTCAGTCTCAGATATTTCTGTTAGCAACACTAAAATAGACTAAGAGCTTGAGGGTCACACATCAGATGATAAAGAATTCAAAATGGTGGCCAAAAATAGTAGCAGCTGACCTTTGTGGAGTGTTTATGGTACTCAGCATCATTCTAAGAGCTTTGTATATGTTCACTCACCTGATCCCAACTTATGAGGTAGGCATTTTTTTCATTAGCCCTATTGTAGAAATGGGAAAACAAAGACATAAGAAATGTAACCATTCTACCCAGGACTGCATAGCTAGTGACTTGCAGAGCCATGACTCAGACAGGAGGCTATGCCATGAAGTGGAGTTCACCTCTGGTCACCCACCTGGCCCAGTAACTAACCAACAGGGCCTCTTTGTCTTCGTCCTCCACACTCCTCTCTGACACATGTGAGAATGATGAAGCCATCGCCGCTGCAGTGCAGATTCACTCATTATTCTGACTCTTTGCCATCCTTCTAGCCTCATCTCCTGGTGGTCTTTCTATTTCCCACTCCTCCCCAGCCACGCCACTCCTTGGTTTCCTGTCACACCGTCTCATGATTGCCTCACATTTTGACTGACTGTTCCCTCAACCTGGAATGCTTTTGATTCCAGTCTCCACAAAGCTAAACCCTCTGCATTCTTTACTACTCAAGTTAAGTTTGTGGAGGGGCCTTCGCTGTCCACCTCACTGTTGCACAGCCCGTGTTTGTCTCTACATAACGCCACCAGTGAGTTTATTGCTCATCTGCTCCCCATCGACTCTCTCTCTCTAGGAGCCTAGGCTTTGACCTGTCACTGTCATATCATATCCCTATTGCCCAGTGTGGTGGCCTCTACAGTAGAGGCTTAACAAATGCATGCTCAGTGGATGAATCCTCTTTGGGATGAGCTTATATTTTCACTAAGGTAAGGCAGGGTTTAAGAGAACCGCCCCTTCAAAAAGTTGAAACTTCAAAAATTTCAAGTATATGTTCAAGCTTGCAAAACTTTAGAGTTAAGTGGAATTGAAGGAGGAAACTGACAGAGTAAATTGTGGGCCAAGGAGAAGAAATAAGAAAAAAAAACAAAACTGAGAAGAAAACAATAAGAACCTGTTAACAACAACAAGTATCAAGAAAGGATTTTGCTGAAGGTGGTTGAATTGGGGATCGATTGCCAGTGTGTTGAATGATCTGACTGCTGAATGAAAGATGGAGTGGAGTTCTCACCTTCATAGTAAGGACTTGCTTTTGGTAAGGGGGGCAGGCCTGGATCTAGGCCCTGAAGCCAAGACTGAGTGTGATTCACCACACACTACAGTTCAGCTGAGCCTAGCAACCCATCCCAGGAGTCTTCAGTGAACACCTACTTTGTGCTGTGCGGGTGCTTTGCTGTTTTACAAGGACGACTGATCCCTGATCTCTGGATCCCTGCCCTGTAGGAGTTCCCAGCCCTATCACACAGACTAGCACTTAGTAGGTGTTCAATAAGCACTTTTGAAGTGGATTAATGAGTACATAGAACTAGGCTTTCATCTTAACAGCATGAAAAGTGATTGGGGATGCCAGACAAGGGATAGTTAGGGACGGAACCAAATGTGTAAGTATAAAAGCTGTATTTATTTAGCTTTTGCACATCAGAGTGGCTATAAACACTTTGTGCTTAGCTATGAACCAGCAGAAAAATGATGCCTTGTCTGAGATGGTAGCAGGATGTATTCTGGGACCAATTTTATGTTACCTGGGGACCAGCAGCTAGCGTAATGGCTTTGTCGCTGGACCCCCATGTAGTCGACCATGGTGCGAGTCCCGGACCCGGTGGCTTAAACTCACGCCGGGTGCGTGTGCGTGCATGTGAGAATTGAAGGAGAAGGGAATGCGGCGTGGCCATCTCCCCCAGGGCGTGATCTCTTGTTTTCTGTCTCTCTGTCTCTCTCTGTCTTCCTGGTGAGCGCAGGCGCCCTATAGCAAAAAAAAAAAAAGTTTTATGTTACCTGGCTAACCCTTCCTATAATCTCTCACAGGGCAGATATTGTTAGAATGCCCTTACACATTTTTTTGCTATGGAAAATGAAACACCAGAAGGGACTTGCAAGTCAACCAACCACCTGGGTGTGCACCCGGGCAGGTCTGTCTACAAGTGCACTGCACATGGCACCCTCACGCTCCATTCACTGATTGTCCCACCGACGTCACAGACAACAGAAAGGAGCTTCTCAAGGGAAAATGCAGCCATGAACAAAGCCTTTCTTCTCTTCTTCCTCCTCTAGCTAGGGCATGCTTCACCCAAAGCAGTTAGTGCCAGGGTTCCAGAACAGTTGTGTGGAATTTAGCACACTCATTCAGATTTCAGAAACAGACTAAGGGAAAGTGGCCCCAGTGGGAGAGGAACCTGACCATTCTATATATGGATAGCCCAGGCTAAGGGAGAAAAAAAAAAAATCCTTGGGACCCTGACTAATTTGACAAATGAATTTATTACCGTGGGAGGGTCTGAGTCATTAGGGCTTTGGGGGCATGCCAGCAAAGATAAATAAATTGGATTTCAGTGCGCTGTACCGCATCACTACATTCCTGCAGGCACTTAAACACACCACCAACCAGGGCATGAAGAGGTCTGCCAGTCTGGCAAGGTCAAAAAGATTCTCATCCCTATCAGGGAGAATGATTTACAAATTCCTGCCCAAATTGTCAAGTACTAGAGATAAGCATTTACCTAGGGGAGCCATCCTCAGCCCAGCTCCTTTCATTGTCCACAGCCCCAGGGGGCTCTAACCTCCTGAGTCAGAATGTAAAGATATTTCACTCAAAATCTAACAGCAATTCACTATGACTATCCAGCCTGGAAGGTCTCTGGTTAACTAGGTTTTTGTTTAACTGGAAGTTAAATAAAACCTGCTTTGTCATATGCCTTGTTATTGAAAAATCTTTCTAAACAGTGTTAGTTCCCTCATCTACCTAAGTTTCTGGAGTTGTATGAAAATAATTACATTTTTGCTTGATGATTAGGCATCTCGCACTGCCTTGGGGCATTATCCTACCTGCAGGTTAAGATTAAAATTTAACTACCGTTTTAGACTTTTATGAAAAATAGGCTTCTGTCTAGAGGTGCTAAGGATATGTATCTAATTTTGTTGAGGGTGGTGAAGTCTCCTTCCTTCCCAGTGCCCAGCAGAGTGTGAGAAACGCTGGAAAACGCTGATGGAGTTGATGAAGGCCTGCTATGAATTAATGTCTTGCAGTGTTTTCCCTCATGGTAACAATTGTGCCTGCTCTCTGTTGATTGCTGGTGGGTTCAGGTGTGCTAAGCCCTTTCGGTGGCTTCCATCCTTGCATTTGGGCTGTCCCATGATCAGTGGCCGGGCTTTATCTCCATCCACAGATGTGGAGATGGGACCTTGGAGAAGTGAAGTGACTTGGCAGAGAGGTTCCAGAGCTAGGAAGTGACAAATCAGAATTTACATTCCTTGAGAGGTTTTGGGAATGGCAGTCTTCAAATGAGGTGGCTAGATAAGCACAAACTCCCCTAAAATCTTAGAAAATGAAACCTATAGGTGAGGCAGGAGAAAGCTAGCAATGGAAGTGGGTAAGGGGGCTGGAGCGTCTGCCCATGTGGCTAGGTAGAAAAAAATGATCAGGGCAGAAAATTCCCCACCCAAGGAAATGTAAGCAGGCGATAGTGGGGGATGTCTAGCTAATTAAGCCATATCTGACAAAGCCAGTGAGAAGGCAGCGGGCCCAGCCACATTCTACAGAGCCAATGAAATGAGAACAAGCAGTGGCACCGACCAATGACTAACCGACATGACCTAGATCAAAAACGATAAACCTTGCAGAGTGCAATTGCTAAAGCCTTTTTCTTTGAGCCACTCTTTCTCTACTCGGCACCCCCTCCTACCTCTCAGGAGTGTAACTCGTACTTTTACTTCATAAACTACCTTTTCCTTACGCTATTGGCATGTTTCACTCAGTTCTTTGTCTGAAACACCAAGAACCTGGGTATCATCACAGAGACCATCCTGCAACATAGAAAATGAAAAGTGAGATGAGAGACACACACATGAGTGCACCTCGACAGCTTAGACTCCCCATCTGTTAGGGAGCCAGTATGGTATAGTGCTTTTTTTTTTTTTTTTTTTTTTTTTTTTACAGATTTTTTGCTATAGGGAGTGTGTGCTCACAGAAGAGATAGAAAGCAAATCACCACCTAGGGGGATGGTCACACCACAGTCCCTTCTCCATTCTCCTCTCGGGATTTGGGGCATGCATGCACAGGCGCTGGCATGAGTTTAAGCCCCTGGGTCTGGGACTTGAACCACGGTAGACTGCATGGGAGTCCAGCAGTGTAACCATTATGCCATCTGCTAGGCCCAGGTATAATGATTTAGGATAGTGATTTTCAGATTATCTGTGGAAATATACCAGATCAGTTTTGTTCAGAATTT